CTCTCTCTCTCTCTCTCTCTCTCTCTCTCTCTCTCTCTCTCTCTCTCTCTCTCTCTCCCAAGACCAAGTAAACAGTGCCGACAGCAAAAAACGAATCCCATACATGTCAATGTTGGTTCGCGCTGGCCGTGCGGAATGGCCGTTGCCGATACGCAGCAACACCCAACACAGAACCACGCGCGAAACTTAAGCCATACATGACGACAGTGTCCGCCATTCCCCCAGCTGCTGATAGCAAATTACGCAAACAGACGCGGGCCGATACATTTGCCACCGAGGAGGACACTCATGTACTGCAGAGATTTGTGTTTGGCATTCGCATTCAGAGTCTTGCGCTTTTTCCAGTTTTTCCCACTGGCACTGACGTTTGTTCATTGGCCAACCGGTTAGCGCGGTCTTGCTAACAGCAAAGAAATACACACGTCCCCACCGCGGGCCGCCAGTCGGGGAACCCGCAGACTAGAACAGACTGAGTTTCGTTGGTCTGCCGGTCTGCGCGGTCGATGCAACTTCAAGAAAACACGCGCACGATAACGTACTGAAAACGTTGTGTTTCGAACCTGCAGATACAGGGAAACACCCCGGGGTCCGGGACCGTCGTCGAACTTCTGCAGAGCCAGGTCCACCAGCGTTGGAAACCCATACGCCAAGAGCGGCGCCGCACTTGGCTCCAGGAGCTGAGGAACACCGCGCAGTGGGACAAGGGACGTGGGAAGAACCAACAAGTACGTTGAGAAAGGTGCTGGCAATAAGGGGGCGTGAGAGGAAACGAGCAGGGTCAAGCAAGGCCCTCTGAACATGAAAGTTACACTACGTCCGTCGATACTGCTGCCTTCACGCGTTTCCGGTCGACCCGTTCAAACGTTCCCCGAAGAAAAACGTGGCGAGGATTTCTTGCCACATGGATATTCCGTAGTAGTCCTCTGCGAAGTCATCCACAGAGTGCGTGTGAATCACTTTGTGTCCCGCGATTCGAAACACAACCATACAGACCCCATTTCGACACGGTGAAGCACACAGCAGTAGTGTCCGAGGTTTTAAACCTGCAACGCCACGTGCAGTCCGCTCCAATGTAGCCGCTCCTCGTCGCCGTCCTGATCAGACCCTGATGCCGTCGGGTGGGCGCCGCCGCTGCTCAGACCTCGTTCGAGTACGGGAACCCAGCGGTCGATGACGGGGCTGAACGTCCCGTAGGCAGGGGGAGCGGAAACCGTCGAGGTGGCGACAGTTGAGCGACAGACAAATGGAGGGAGAGGGGGGTGAGGACATTGATAAAACATATTGATTTCATTGCGCTTTTTACTGTTTATGATAGTCTAAAAAATTGCAAGTCGTACTTTTGGAAGAAATTTGGCGTGTGAAATTTCCACTGAGTAGGCACTGGAAAACCTGTACGGCCCGCAGCAACTATGACGGGCTGAAAGAGTATCAGTCGGATACGTGCGGTTTGAGATATACCCCGTGTCGCACACTTACAGAAGAACGCATTCTCGCGGGAATCACACGGTACGGTACGGCACGGTACTTATCTTCAAGGATTATAGCAAAACACAGAAAATACATTGTTCGACGTTGCACTGGGCTCCTGACTGGCGCATACCGCCTCCACCCACCCGGCCGTACCGTGATGCGTGGCCAGCCGTTTGCAGCATGAGGTTTCCGTGAACAACCACCTCCATTGCGTCTGTACTACAATATCGCAAGAGCAGCAACGGTGCTTCGACATACAACGGGTCCGAGGCCATTTGACTGCCGACGTCACTTGATCCCATCCCCTCTCCCCCACAAAGCCACCTTTGGCAAATAGGGTAAGTAGGAAGGAACGATTGGTCATCGGTGATCGGTCCTGTTATAACAATGCTCCGTCCTCTCGACGGCGCGCGGTCAACGCTCTGCCAACTGAGACATGCAAAACACGAGTACCCCCCCCCCAAAAAAAAAGACTCCTCGTTGCCCCATAGTGAGCACTGATGCCACTCGCACTTACCTCAGCACCTCCACGTACTCCTTCGCGCGGATTCCTCCGGCCCTCCTCGCCATCGACTGCGCCCAGGCTCTCGCTGACGCCTCCCTATGCACCAGAAGGGTCAGCACGCCAGGCCAGTGCTGATTCCATTCTCCCCCTGAGAAGACTCCCTCGCCGGAGCTGGTAACCTGAGCTCTCGAATGAGGGCGGGCGGCGAGGAAACGGCGAGCGTTCAGTTCGTGGCGAAACACAAACGGCGGGGGAGACGATTGTCCAAGGGAATGGGGCGGTGAAACGCCAGCAATACAACACTGGAGAGTGGTGCAATATCGCGTAGACTGCCTATCAACGACGATAAATCAAACAAACCTAAGTTCGCAAAGAACGCTTGAGGTTCTCATCATAGTGATAACACACAGGGGTGGTTTTGGTGGAATCTTTATCCCAAATATTCAAGGCGTCCTTATGCGTGGCCGTTGCCAACCCCCACAGGAGACCAAAAGGGCGAGAAGGAGCAGTCAAGCCCATTTTCGTCTCGAGAAGAATGAGGTTCTCTTCCCGCCGTTGTCTCAAGCGTTCCCTCTCGCCTCCACCTGTGCGCCACCACACGCCACCAAAGCGACACTGCCGCGTAGGAGCTGCCCGGGCTATTCGGTGCACAAATAACGGCCAGCAACCTCCGCACAGCCGTACCTGCGAAAGGGCCGCCAAGAAGGCTCCTTCTATCCCACCGTCCTTCAGCAGCTGCGAGTAGGACAACACCTCCCAGAACGCCAGGGCGTCATCCACCCCGAGAGGGAAGGATGAAGAAGCAGCGGCAGCAGCCCCTGTAGTCTTGCAGGCTTCGCCGTCGACTCCTGCTGACCCTTGTCCGGTTGCTACCGTCCCGGACCCCGCCCCGTCCGATCGCGCCAGTGTTCCAGCTGGCGCTTTCCCGGCAGAGCGGAAAGAGCGCTGGAGCCGGGCTCGGTCATGTTCGAGGATCGCCGCTTCAAGCCGCTGGGTCTCGGCGGGCCTGCGCAGCCAGACGGTGATAAAAACAAGTCAACGATTGCTGTCTAGGGCTATCGTGGGGGCCCGGGATGCCAGGTTGTTTGCCTCATTTATACTGAGAGTCATGATGAGCCACCGGTATTTCCTAGGAACCCCAGCATTAATTCGTTGACAGGGTGCGTTCGAGACGGGTGCTCTGTTATGCGACACCAACACGAGGAGTTAGCACGCCACACAAACCGAGTGCTATAATAGAACATTCCCACAGCAGAAGCCAGCCATTTCTCTATCACGTTTCACCAACACTCAAGTGATTCCTTCGTAGGTGCCCCAACTTGGCCATGCAGGTGTGCACGCGAGGTGTGGCGACAACGCCTACGGCGACTATACAGTTCTTTCCATTACTTGAATTAAATCAGTGCTCACATACGGCATTTCTTACGAAACTAAAACAATGATTGCCGATGTACGCGTACCGTTCTTCCTCCGAGAGCAGCCTCGCCAGTACAGTTTCCTTGGCGGCGTGGTAACGGCGGAGGCAGCGCTTGCACGTGGAGAGTTGAAAGCTCACCGTCTGCCAAACAATACCTACGCCGGTGAGGCTGTCCGAGCTGGACAAAGGGCGGAGGCGTGGGGACAGGCGGAGGTTAGATCTCCTGTGGATACATTCGCTGCGGCGGGGTTTCAGAATCTATAGAACAAAGAAGCTCGTCCATGCACGGGGATTTGTCTCCCCATCCCCGAGAAGCCATGACGCGTGAGGCGAAGGTCTCTCCGACTACCCGCGTGCATCCCTGCTGTACCTGGTTGTGCTGGTGTCTGGAGTCACCGGCGCGGAAGGCAGCCCTTCGCTTTCGCACCCACCATCCAACGATAGCAGCATTCCAGCCATGGCATCCGGATACCTGCCAGGAGAGGAAGTGCCTATTGATTGCGGCTTGCCTGATGCTTAGTATTATGGTGCACACACCACGTCGTAAGGGGGCACGAACGACGGCGGCATTTCAATTTTTTTGCCGGTATTCAAGGCGGGCGTGTGTCCGAAACATCGAAAACGGCCTTCGGGTGAGATGCCCTTCCTTTAGATGAAGCAAATTATCAAGTTATCAATACAATGCATGACTTCGAAGTATATTGTAGCGACGTGTGCTACCTCGTGCGTGATTGCAGGACGCTCTTCCGTATTTCTCGAAGTCAGTCAAAACGACGATTGAATATCCGTGTCCGCTCGCCAACATGTTCGGTGTACTGCTGTATGCGGGGCGGTACCTACAAATGTTTGAGAACGTGCACTGCCTCGTGCATGCCGACGTTCAGTACCATTTACACTTGGACAAAGTTGCCTGGTGCATGGACAGCAGTGCCGTTACCCGCCATGGGACACCGTGGAACCAAACCAATTACACTACGGGACACCACGGGACGCCATGGCGAACCGTTAGATACCACGGCATACCGTGGCACGCCATGGGACACCGTGGGATGTCATAGTGCGCCATGGCACATCATTGGACACCACGGCACACCATGCGACACCACGGTGAACCATGGCACACCACCATGCACCATGGCACACCGTGGGCCGCCATGGGACACCATGGGCCGCCGTTGGACACCATGGGATGCCATAGGACACTACGGTGTGCCATGGCACACCGTGGGATGGGACACCGTGGGACGCTGTGGGACACCACGGTGCACGATGGCACACCGTGTGGGACGCAATGGGGCACGACGAAGAAGTTTTGCACACTGTTGGAAGCCATGAGACACCTCCCGACGCCATGAGACGCCATGGACCACCGTGGGACGCCATGGATTAAGGGTGAACCATGGCACACTTGTGGGACGCCGTGGGATACCACGTTGCACCATGAACGGTATAGACCGTGTTACATTTATTTGGTTCCCCCCGAACAGCAGGCCATTCCACCGAGTCTTTGACAGGACCACAACTCTCCAACCAAGCCGGGCACACCTGCTTCTTTTCACCACTGTACCCCTTCAGAGAGGGAGAGCGGAAGAGAGAGAGAGAGAGAGAGAGAGAGAGAGAGAGAGGACGAGTATTCGAGTATGCAGATGAATTGTGCATACCAAAGCTACGTCTTCATTTACTACTGCTGTGTGTGAGTACGGGGACGATCATTTTTCACCTGCACCACCAGTGCTCCGGATGCCTGAGCAGCAACTCGGCCACAGCCTCAAATGGAAAACCGAATCCCTGCGCGCTTCTGTGCAGATCATCATACTCTTGCTCGAAGCGAGAGATGGCGGCCTCGCAGTCTGCTGCTGTAAGGTCTATTGTGTCGGTCGCGAGGTTGTGCTGCTGCTCCTGCTGTTGCGGCGGAATCTCCGCGTCCTGCTCGCCTTGGGCAGGTTCCTCCTGGCTGAATATCTCCTCATTGTCGAGTTCTCCTTCCTCCAGGTTGCTCTCATCGCTTTGGCCGTCGACGCTTATCACCTCAATATTCATGGCATATCCCAACAGCAGAGGGACCACCAGCACATGTGCAAAATGCCCACAAACGTTTTCCCTCGCTTGCCGAGGTGTGCTGAAGGCTATAAAAGCCACAGTCCCGTGGGATCTACGAACAGGAAAAGTCAACGCAGTGCGCTGTCATGCACCTGGTGTTCTCGGCTGGAGCTGAGTCTCCGAGTGCAACAAGAGATACTATCGTCCATACAGCTGCACTCGTCCTCTGTCTTTCTCTCTTTCCGTATGACTTTCTACTCTGCCGCGCGCAGTGACCCAAAACAACACAGCAGCTACGATGCGCCGCTCTTACGTTGTACCAACATCTCCGAAAAATAAAAATGACTCATGTGCCGGTCGCTGCACCCTGCACACACGAACACATCTCTTTCAACACCACCCACCAACAACAAGACAGATGCCGCTATTATACCAGCCATGGTCGGCAATGCTGCTTTCTAGCTTGCTCGTGTCCGCCCCTTTCGGTTCCGGAGTCATTGGGTTTAGCACGCCCTCTCTGTTCCGAGCAAGCTCCTCAGCTGGAGGGCGCACGTACACCAGGCGGAGCAGATTCTGGAAGCATTGTCCAGCAGGACGAACTACGTCGTCGATACCGAGTATGTCTTTGCCAGCGGAGGGTGGGCCAACGAGCAGGAATCGGGCAATCGGACTTGGCGTGGCATCTCTCTTCTCATTGGCCGTGGCCCCAACGCCTGGTCTTGCGCTTGACCCTGTCCGCAAGGTAGAGGTTGGAATCTCAAGAGCAGTACTTGCATACCGTATATGACACAAGATAACACACCCCCTGGACCGATTTTCAAAGCCCGATTACTCCACGACAAAGAGGATGCACAAGCGAAACGATAAATTTTTCAAAAAGCTCTCGACGAAAAGTTTTCAACGCCGCCGTTTTCGGCGCTGCAACTATTCCTGCAGTTAAGAAATCGAGCTTCGAAAATTGGTCAAGGGGGTGTGTTATCTTGTGTCATATACGGTAGTCTAACCCAAACTTGGCCAGCGCTGTACATGCCGTGGCTGCTCCCCAGGCATGGATCCATGAACGAGTACAATATTTGCACCTAGGCACAAGCCACATAGCTTGATAAGTAAGCGCTGAGAAGTGGTTCATGCAACATCTTGCCAACAGAACACGAACTGTGGCAACTTTATTGCGGTGCATTCTTGGAATACAACTGTGTAGAGGTGTACGTGCAGACTGCAGTAGACATAGCACTACAGCACATTCCAATCGGCAACGGCGAGCCAGACCGCGGTCATTTGGAGGAAGTGCAACCTTTCGTGCCTGCACAGGCATCTTCGGATATGAAAACCATCGAAAAGCGCCTGCTGTTGGAACCTCCCGCCCTGCCAGAACTTCAAGCCATCATGATTGGTCTCTTGTTGTCTCGTCTTTCGACGATAGATTTGAAGTGCGCGTTTGGGGTGGCAAGTTTCGAGGTGATATCAATGAGCTGGGTAATGGCGACATACGTAGAATGCTACCTGGTATGTTGGGCCAGTAAAATACTTTTCCATCCCATCCTCATCCCATTCCCATGCGATTTCGATGGGAGTACCATCCCGCCACATCACGGGAACAGATCTGTTTCCCCTGCAGATCGTCACACGGTGCCCCTTCACGTTACTTGTGATCAATATTCATCCGCCAGGTACAAGAGCAACTACGCATCCGAGCACAGGAGGAGTTCGATAACGTAGAGGCTCTTGCTTCACCAGAGGGAGGCAAGACCCTCCAGCCGGTTCTTGCTCTGGTACCCATCATCACGTGAGCTTTGTACACCTTTCCTACGTCTCCGGGGTGTCGTTGAGAAATCGTTGAACTGTTCGTCCCCAGCAGTTTGTAAGCGACCAATTGAGGCTACAACAGCGATATGTGTCGACTTGGGCCGTAGATTTTGGACAGGTGGAGGCTCCGTGCTGCGTTATATGCAAGATCATACCTGCAATTGCCCGGTTCCTCTCCCCCCAAAACACTGGATGGTAGCTTGCAAACTTGAAGACTACGGAACGGGAGGTTTTGTAGAACGGTACAAGCAAGAGTTTTTTTTCTGCAGAGTTGACTAAATACGATTTGCTATCATTCCCCGAGAGGACTTCAAGACGCCGCCATGTGTGTCTCGATTCGTGGCTCAAGCAGACAAGTGTTGTTTTTTTCGGATGTTGTTAAGGTTGGTATGGGGTCGTTGTTGTCGTTGCTATTGATGCTCCATGTCTTGAACCAAAGCAATATTCCAGGCGCGCTTCCTCGCACAGCAGGCTTGAGCCTCGAAACAATCATTAGGTTTCGCATGGGGCAGTGGTACGTAGGAGGATACAAAGTAGCGGTGTTTTGGCGCACACTTTGTCTACACAGCCATGGCAGTGTCACTGTCCAACTATACGGTGTTTTTGTGAGGCTGACGCTGTTGCTGCGAATGCCGGTCGCCCTCTCAACCATCCTGAGAACTAAATTTAAAGTCTCATTGTCGCGTGTGCTTCTCTCGTTCCCCGCGCGCTTCAAATGACAAAGGCTTCGACTGCAACTGGACGAGGTGGAGAGCAATCTCAAAGATCCACGCCTGTTCGGAGCCGCGTTGACAATTCTGCAAGCTCAAGACTTCCAGAAGAAAGACATCAAGCGCGTGTTCAACGCGTACAGCGACAACATCTACTACTTGCCGGATTCGGATCGGGAAAACAAGTACCTCCAGGGCGGGGCGACGCCTTCCAGCCGACAAACGCTGCAGTATCTCCTCCGAAACGATGTGATCGACAACGTCGAGGCTCTCACAGCGGAGATATCGTATCTAATCAGAGAGAGGGAGGTCGGGGGCGAGGCAGACACCGATGAGAAGGACTTGAGGATGTATTTGGGGAAGTGCAAGCAGAGCTTCGACAAGTACCTGGGCATGGTGCTGCAGAACGAGATCGACGAGGCAACAGACATGGCAAAGGTGGCCTTGGCCAACAAGAGAAAGGGAAATGCGCCCACTCCGGCGAAAACGCTGTAGTAGCAGACCTCCTCGAACTAGATTGCTGCCGAGAACGGGGGGAGTTTGTCCGATGCCGCTAGAAACCAGTAGAACGGTTTTGATCGTGCTCTTCCTGTCTCGACAGCCTCCCGCCGATCCATCAGTCGCTATAGAGCGGTGGGATGTAGCTCTGTGTTGTTGATGGGTGTAGCAGTGTTAGAGTGCATGTTGTCAAGATTTCAGTAGAACTGAAAAAAAAAAGGCTGCCACTCCAGTGGATAGGTTAGTTCGCGATAGACTTCGTGTGGTGCACCTCGTCAATGATCTTGGAAGGTGCGTAACAACAGAGTTGCGTCTCTCATGCACTTCAAAAGCTGAAAAGTGTCTACAAGACGTGTTGGAAACCTGTGTTATTGTGGAGACGGAAGAACAAGGTACAAACCACAATGCTTAGGTCATTGTAGACAAGAAGCGAGAAGTCGGGGGTGGTCCAAAAAAACTAGCACGTGGCGCGAGTGACGCTCCGACGCCGCCGTTGCGAGTCACTCGTCCGTTTCTTTGACGGCGTTTACTTACAGTCTTGAGCATATTTCTGACGAAATAAGGGCGACCTTCAAGGCGGGGACTGATAAGTTCCTTAAGTCTGTTTAGTGCGCGTTTCCCCGCCCGCCTGTACACAGCACGAGCGTTCGGCCAGCCATGCTCACGTAGCTCGATTCTGGGCGCCCGGCCGCGAATCTTCTCCGAACCCGTCGTCATCTTGTTCTCGACGATAGGGCAAACCGATCACCCCAACCGAGGTTATCAACAGCGAGCACAGGCCCGGTAACACTGCTCCTCGAAGCCTGCTCACTCTTTACCCTTCTGTCCCAGCTTCAACCTCGACGTAGTTTACAGCCGTCTTGTGCCGCTGTTGGCCTTCATCCACTGCTCAAAGTTTTCTTCTGAGGCCGTGGTCAAGAGCCACCTGTGCTCGCCGAAGTCGGGAACGATGCCTCTCTCAACCATCAGCGTCGCCCTCGGGCAGATGCGATAGTCGAGGCTGTAGCCAAGGAGGCTCGGTGTGGCCACCACGGCCGCTCGAATGTCGGCAACCGATGCCTTCAGGGTCGTCCGGAAGAAGCAGAACTTCGGCGCCAGATTCTTCGTTTGGCTGCATCCTAAGAGGCTGGGATATCTGGCGACCATTTGTATCACCTGACGGGAGGAACCACACAATGCCATGTGACTGACGAGGATGAGAGCTCAAAGGGGGGCCTGAGGTTCTTGTTTGTAACACCCTCGGAGAGTTTAGAACACCCCTAGAGGTACAAGACAAGAGTGAGTGTTTACCAGATGACGAGTCCACCAGTCACCCATGCTTCGGAGGCGCAACGTCGTCATTTTCCCATCATGAAGTACACACAAGGAGTCGGGAGGGGCAACGCCTGCAAACACACCGCAGCAGGCGTGGGGTCATGCAAAACAACGCGGGAACTGCCATGGGCCACGCTTCTGAATCGTTTATGTACTTTGGAGCGTCACAATCTCGACCTGCGGTGCCCCCTGCACAAACAGAAACGTCGCGCGCGAGTAAAATCTTGCTCTCCGATTGCGTCGGACTCTCTTGCTAAAAAAAGCAAGCATGATCCCATCAAGAGGTTCAAAGCTATCGCTCGACGCCAAGCGATCACCAGGCAGTCACCTCGTCGGGTGAAGCTCTCAGCTCCTTCTGCAGCCACTCGAGCATTGGAATTACTTTCTCTTCGATACTGTCTGCGCGAAACCAAAGCAAGGTGGTAAGGGCGAGGAAAGCAGCACCGCAGCTTTGGTTGACGCCTGTAGCACACAAGTCAGCCAAAGAAGGATGTGTGTGAGGGTAGGACGACAAAACGCGCTTGCGTCAGGGGGGGGGGGGGGGA